AACCAAATGTGCCACCCAGGCGCCCCAGAAAAGAGAATTTGTAAAAAAAAAAAAAAAAGAAAAAAGAAAAAGAAAAGAAAAGAAAGAAAAAATAATAAATTAAAATTAAATTAAAAAAGAAAATTTTTAAACAAGGTGAATTTATATATGCTGGTATGAAGAATATTCCAAATTATGAGCCTGGGTGACTCAGTTGGTTGAGCATCCAACTCTTGATTTCAACTCAGGTGATGATCCCAGGGTCATGGGATCAAGCCCTGTGTTGGGCTCTGCGTGAAGTATAGAGCCTGCTTAGGATTCTCTCTCTCTTTCTCTCCCTCTACCTCTCTCCCCAACTCACAGGCTCACTCTCTCTCAAATAAAAATAAAAAATAAAAAATTAAAAGAATACTCCAAATTGCATTAAATAAAAAATACTGGTTGCATATTTATATTAAATACATATAAAGTATACCTACTAAATACATATTTATGTAAAATATACATATTAAAAATAATGTGTATATAAAATACATACGTATTAGGTACTATTCATATTAAATATTGTTACAACTATATTTATATTAAGACATAACATAAGTATACATATATTTACATTAAAATATGTGCATCCCTGGAAAGAACACAAGAGCTAAAGAACAGGGATAGAAGGGAAATTTACCTTGCATTAGATTCATCTGTAACTTTGAATTTTACTCCATGTATTTCTATCACCTATTCAAACAAATTTTAAAACTACATATAGCATAATACATAATGCATACATAATATAATGCAATATATAATACATAACGATGTATAGCAGTCCCCCCTTATCCGTGGTTTCACCTTTCCGTGGTCAGCCACAATCTGGAAGCAGATGATTCTCCTGATGTGTGGTCAGAAGATCAATAGTAGCCTAAGACTAGGTCACAGTGCCTAAATCATTCACCTCCCTTCACCTTATCACACAGCTGTGTTATCATGTCACATTATCATAGGAAGGATGAGTAAAGGACAATAAGATATTTTGAAAGAGAGGGACCACATTCACATAACTTTTATTATAGCATATTATTATAGTTGTTCTATTATTAGCTCTTGTTGTTAAGCTCTTACTGTGCCTAATTTATAAATTAAACTTTATCACAGACACATATGTCCAGGGTTTGGTACTATCTGCAATTTCAGGCATCCACTAGGGGTCCTAGAACTCATCTCCTGTGGGCAAGCAGGGACAATACTGTGCAGCATAATTGTATTTGTGAAAGGCAAAAAATTATATATGCCTACAAAAAAATCTTGTAGTTTATACCAACTTAACAGTGGTTGTATCGGGAGGATAGAATTTAGGGGCCTTTTACTTTCTCTATGATGTATTTCCATAATATTTCAATTATTCACATTGAGCATATATTACCTGTATGATGAAAAACATTTAAAAATAAAAAAACAAAATCTTTGCAATAGGTAAATGTCGGGGTGCCTGGGTGGCTCAGTCGGTTGAACACCCAACTTCAGCTCAGGTCATGATCTCACGGTTTGTGGGTTCGAGCTCCACGTCCGGCTCTGTGCTGACAGCCAGCTCAGAGCCTAGAGCCTGCTTTGGATTCTTTGTCTCCCTCTCTCTCTGACCCTCCCCTGCTCACACTGCCTGCCTGCCTCTCTCTCTCTCTCTCTCTCTCTCTCTCTCTCTCAGAAATAAATAAAACCTTAAAAAAATTTTTTTAAGTCAATCTTCTCCTTGGCTCAATAAAATATTTACATTTTGATCCCCTGTTTAAGTTTGTATTACAAACATAGTTTTTCTTTCCAATGTTAAAGGAAGGTTTTTGTTGTGTTGTAGGGTATTTTTTTTAAGTTTATTTATTTTTGAGAGAAAGAGAGAGAGAGAGAGAAAGTACAAGTGGAGGAGGGGTAGAGACAGCGGGAGATGGGGGATCCAAAGCAGGCTCTTCTTTGACAGCACAGAGCCTGACTTGGGGGTTAAACTCCCGAACCATGATATCATGACCTGAGCCAAAGTTGGATGCTTAACCAACTGGGCCACGCAGGTGCCCTGTCCTGTTTTGTTTTGTTTTTTTAACAACAAATATGGGTTCTTTTTCTTTTTCTTAGTTTTTTTTATACGTATTTATTTTTGAGACAGAGAGAAAGACAGCATGAGTGGGGGAGGGACAGAGACAGGAGACACAGAATCTGAAGCAGGCTGCAGGCTCTGAACCCACGAACCATGAGATCATGACCTGAGCCCAAGTCGCACGCTTAATGGACTGAGCCACCTAGGCACCCCCATGGGTTCGTTGTCTTAGCAAGAGATTTTTTTTAATAGCCAGGAAGATAATCTACTAGATATTCTTCTCAATTCATCATAAATTCTGTTTTTACTTTTCTTCCTTATCAGTCTTCTTATGTAATCATTTGTTCCTGAGGATTGAGGTGTGTGCCTGGGTGATTCAGTCGGTTGAGCATCCAATTCTTGATTTCGGCTCAGGTCATGTTCTGAGGGTTGTGGGATCAAGCCTGGCATGTGGCTCCTCACTGAGTGTGGAACCTGCTGAAGACCCTCTCTCCCTCTTCCTCTCCCCCTCTCTCTATCACTCTCTCTCTCTCAAATTAAAAAATATTTTTAAGAATTTTCACTGAAAGAAAAAAAAAAGAATTTTCACTGAAAGAGGCCTGGAGTTATGTTTTTCTCATCGTATCTCAAATATTCTGAATTTTTTTTTTGCTCTGACTTGCATTTAAAACAACATTTTATAGGCAAGGAACGAATAGGGGGAGTTGCCAGTCCAAAGATATATTCTGGTTTTCTGTCTCGAGAAATATAAATTATAAATAGGGTCTAAAGGAAAACATATCACCATAGCAAAGTTGTTTTCTTTTAAGAAACAATTGAAAAATAAAATTTGTTTCCAGGTGACAGAATTAAAACTTTCTAACCATGATGAATAACCTCTTCAGTTTCTAGAAGTTTCCTTAAATATAAACTAAAGTACATTTAGTCATAAACAGTAAGAAAACAGTCTCTACCCTTTAGCTAGCCCATTGGACCTGGAGCTACAAAATACTAAACGATGCTTTCTTCAACCTAGATATATTTACCTCAGGACAACAGTCTGAGCAGAAGGTACAACATAATATATACTAGGGGGCTTGGAGCTAGGAGAAAGCCACAGTGTCTGAGGGCCACTGGCAAGGAATTCTTGTTCTACTAACAGAAGAACTGTTTGGAAGAAGATTGTTGAAAACAGACAAAAAGAACCACAGAGAGGAAAACATGAAGAAGGTTAGAATGCAACAGTCCAGAACAATTTAAAAGGGACAGGACCAAGTAGCAAACTCCTTTGAGAATGGACTCCCGTATCTTTTTCTTTCCTTATCTTTGTTCTTCTCTAACCTGTTTTTCTCAACCGTTCCAATCTTGCCCAACTGTGCCTCGTTGTAAAGAAAAAAAAGTCCAGATCTGACCTACATCTCAATAGTGTTCACCTCTGCTGTATCTTTCTATTTGGAATCTCCTCCTTCTAGGGGAAGGCTTTATCTCAACTCCAGAGCCATCTGCCATAGTCAGGATTCTAAAGTGACTCATGGCCAGAAAATGGTTGAAAATCCTCTTACCTACTAAAAGAAAGAAAGAACTATAAAAAGGGCTATGTTCACTTACCACGAACCTGCTTTTTTATTTCTTTGGCAGAATCCAGCCATGTCTGTAAAAAAAAGAAAAGGCATTCACAAAGAGCTCCAAAAAACACATAAATCACAGAGTACCTGAGCAGGGTTATTGATGGTCTTTGAACAGAGTCTCCAGGTCAACCTACATTTCCGATATTCTTTGCATTAACTTCACACAGCGTAGTAAATCTGAGCAGAGAAATAGGGAGCCAGACAGTCAGGGTTGAATCCTAGCTCTACTATTACCTAGTAAGTGATTTGAGGCATCTATTTATCTCAGTTTCCTCACTACTAGAGGGGATTAAGATGAGATACTAGAAGCAGTGCCTATCTCAGAGACGTATTATGAATATTAAATGATAAATGAGTTCATGTATATAAAGCTTTTAGTAAACAAGAAATGCTAAATGAGCACGTGTTTTTTATCATTCTGTACATTCTGTAAAGAGTAGTAGGGATCTGTAACCATCTTAAGATTAGTTAACATCTCCCAGATCATATTTTTCCCTCCAGCTCTGACCTCCAATCTCATTTAAGTTTTCTTTTTAATTTTTTTAAATGTTTATTTATTTTTGACAGAGAGAGAAAGAGAGCATGAGCTGGGGAGGGGTAGGGAGAGAGGGAAACATAGAATCTGAAGCAGGCTCCAGGCTCTGAGCTGTCAGCACAAAGCCTGATGTAGGGCTCAAACTCATGAACTGTGAGATCGTGACCTGAGCAAAGTCAGACGCTTAACCAACTGAGCCAACCCAGGCACCCTCTTTTTTTAAGCTTTCTGTGTTAGCACAGCATCTGGTACATGGTTCATGCTCAGTTAATATTTACTGGATGAATGGTTATGTTGTTTCCCCTGACTACTCTTGCCCACACTAATCTCTCCTTTTACTGTTCTCCAACCCCACTTGCAGTCTACACACCATTTGGGCAAGGTTCTTCCCCTTGTGGTGGGCTGTGCAAAATAATGGCACTTGGAAAGAGCCTCACCATTAACTTCTTCCATTAACGTCTAAATTAAATTGTTTAAAATATTTTTATTGAGGGGCGCCTGGGTGGCTTAGTCGGTTAAGCATCCGACTTTCGCTTAGGTCATGATCTCGCGGTTCGTGGGTTCGAGCCCCGCGTCGGGCTNCATGTTCTGGAAAAAGCAAAACTACGGAGACAGAAAAAAGACCAGCAGTTGCCGAGGGCTGGGATTAAACCAAGAGATCACTACTGAGAGGTTTAGGGAAATTTGGGGGGAGATGGAACTGATCTATTTCTTCATTATGGTGGTAGTATGCAACTGCATGCCTTTTTAAAGACTCACCAAACTGGGAGCACCTGGGTAGCTCAGTCGGTTAAGCGTCCGACTTCAGCTCAGTTCATGATCTCACGGTTCATGGGTTCGAGCCCCACCTCAGGCTCTGTGCTAACAGCCGGCTCAGAGCCTGAAGCCTGTTTCAGATTCTGTGTCTCCCTCTCTCTCTGACCCTCCCCTGCTCACGCTGTGTCTCTCTCTCTCTCAGGAATAAATAAAACATTAAAAAATAATAATAATAAATAAAGATTCACCAAACTGGGGGCAGCTGGGTGGCTCAGTCGGTTAAGTGTCTGACTTCAGCTCAGGTCATGGTCTCGGGGTTTGTAGGTTTGAGCCCCACATGGGGCTCTGTGTTGACTGACAGCTCAGAGCCTGGAACCTGTTTCGAATTCTGTGTCTCCTTCTCTCTCTCACCCTTACCGGTTCACACTGTCTCTCTCTCTCTCTCTCAGAAATAAATAAAACATGGGGTGCCTGGGTGGCTTAGTTGGTTAAGCGTCCGACGTTCGCTTAGGTCATGATCTCGCGGTTCGTGGGTTCGAGCCCCGCGTCGGGCTCTGTGCTGGCTGCTGGCTCAGAGCCTGGAGCCTGTTTCAGTCTGTGACTCCCTCTCTCTCTGACCCTCCCCTGCTCACGCTGATTCTCTCTCCTAGAAATAAATTTAAAAAAACATTAAAAAAAATATTTTTATTGATATGAGACATACAAAAAAGTACCTAAAACATAAGTGTATACATCAATAAATTCTCAAAGTGAATACATAAATTCAACATTATTAGCACCCAAGAGCCCCTCTCATGACTCCTCCCAATCCCTCCCCATTCTCTCCTCCAAAAGGCTAAAAACTGAATTTCAGTGATATTTAGAAAAGAAGAGTAAAGTGTCCCCTCCTCACTCTCTATCCTCAAAGACAAAAGGCACAAGGTTGCCATCCTACTTGCCCTACCAAAGAAATGAACTTGAACACCACAGTCTTCTATTCGATTATATACTACTTTAACTGTTAAATAAAGATAGCCATCGCAACAGACAATAAGCACAAGAGTGAAGATTAATTTCCTTTTCTCTCTCTTCCCCCCCCCAACTAACAAAGAGAATTAAGAAACGTGTTAAAAATATACCACTTAAGGGGCACCTGGGTGGCTCAGTCAGTTGAGCTTCTGACTTTGGCCCAGGTCACGATCTTACTGCTCATGAGTTTGAGTCCTACATTGGGCTCTGTGCTGCCAATCCCTCCTTGGGATTCTGTATCTCCCTCTCTCTCTCAAAAATAAATAAACATTAAAAAATTATTGTTAATACCACTTATAAAACTGTTTCTTAGAATAAAAACTAGGTACATACTTGTTTAAGCCCTGTCAGACAGGCAGTAACCCTCATCTTTCATTACAAGTAAAGAACCTGAAGTTGTTGCAAGTCCAAAGGCAAAGGAAGACTGTAAAAGCACCAATTAGGAAGTTTGTGGAACCTCTGAGAATCATTTTATTAAATGTATGTTTGTTTGTTTGTTTGTTTGTTTTGAGAGAGACTAAGCACAGAGGGGGAACGAGAAAGAGAATCCCAAGTAGGCTCCTCACTGTTGGCCCAGAGTCCTATGTAGCACTTGATCTCACAAACCAACAATGAGATCATGACCTGAGCCAAAATTAAAAGCCAGATGCTTAACCAACTGAGCTATCCAGGTGCCTCAAGAATCATCATTTATACCATGCAATCCAAAACTCTTAACAAAGACTATTTTTTACCACTTTGGAACAAATATCTCCCACCATAATCAGGCAACTCTATATTTTCCACTATTTTTTCTGAGAAATCTCCCAAGGTAACCTGAAGATGCCAAGTTTCTTACAGGGATTGTACAGCCATTCTAGAACTCTGGAGCTAGAATTCCCACCAATTTGACATAAAGAGGGCAAACCCTGTGTCAATTACATATGACTCCAAGGTGTAAGTGACCTTATAGAACAAATCATTGCTTCAGAATCTAGACCTCCAAATCAAAATCAAAAACGATGTGTATAAGATAATAAAAATCAATGTGTACAAGAAATGGTACTTTTATGCTCAATTTAAATGATTCCATTCACAGCATTTTATTTAGCCAACAAATATTTGAGGAATGCCCCCATGTGCTAGACACTGTAGTTTCAAAAAAAGCATTTAAAAATAGCACTTCTCTTCACGAAGCTGTCAGTCTAATGGAAGAGGTGAATAGCGAACAATTGATTTGTTTGTTCTAGGTGTGAAAATGACTATGACAAAAATGTGTGAGAGTGCTATGGGAGAGCATAGGGTGCTCTAGGAGCACAGAGGAGGTGCACCAAGATGGACTGGGGCTAAGAGATAGGAAATGTTTCTCAAAGGAGTATTTGAGAGACCTAAACTGTGTCTTAAGGGACAAACAAGAGTTAGCCAGGCAAAAAATTAAAGTAAATAAAAGGCACAGGGTACAAAGGAAAAAGATACATCTGACTTGCTACATGTAGTTGAGCACAGCTGGAACACAGGGGTGAGGAGAGGAGATACAAAATCGAAGAGAATGGTAAGGGTCAGAGCATGGAGGGTGCAGTAGTCCACAGTAAGAAACTTGGACTTTATCAAGTGCCAGGCAAAGGTGCGGGGTGGTCACTGAAGGATTTAAAACAAAGGAGGGACATGAATTAGGGGAAGCATGACTGTAGACAGGGAGATGGTTGAGGCGGTTGCTGAGAATGATACTTGTGGTACAGAAGAAAATAATGGTCATGGGTACTGGCTTTGAAGTCAGACAGTCTTGAGTTCTAATCCTGTCTCAACCTCTCTATCATTTATTTAGTAGCTGTGTAACTTTATATAAGATCATCTAAGTCTCAATTTTCTCATGCATAAAATTGGGATAAAACTACCCTCCTCACAGAATTATTATGGATTAAATTATTTGATCTATATAAAAAGCATATAACCAGCACTCAGGGAAGTGTGCTGATATTGATAATCAAAAAGGTTTGATAGGATGAAGTCTACAGGTCAGAGAAGAAAAATATCTAGGAGCCTGAATGAGAGAGAAGGTGGTGTACAGGGAGGAATGATGAGAGTTGGTGAGGTATAAAGGAAAAGGATAATTTCCAAGTTGCTACCTTAGGGAACTGGGTGGATGCAGTACAATTCACCGAAATAAGAAATATAGGATATAAAACAGAAATGGATTTTCTTGAAGAAGAAGAAAAATAGCAAAAAAAACCTGGAAAAAACCAAATGTCCATCAACAGTAGAACAAATAAACTGTGGTATATTTTTGTAGATTTTTTTTTAATGTTTTTTATTTATTTCTAGCAGAGAGAGAGAGACAGCGTGAGCAGGGGAGGGTCAGAGAGAGAGGGAGTCACAGACTGAAACAGCCTCCAGGCTCTGAGCTGGCAGTCAGCACAGAGCCCGACGCAGGGCTCGAACCCACGCACCGCGAGATCATGACCTAAGCGAAAGTCGGACGCTTAACCGACTAAGCCACCCAGGCGCCCCTGTAGATATATTTTTAAGGCATCTTTGGAAATCCACATGAAATATTTCAAGAGATAGCTAGACAAACAGGTCCTGACACTCAGTAGAGAGATTTGGGCCAAAGATATAAATCTGGGTACTTTCCCCATATAGATGATAGATAAAACCATGAAAGAAGATAAAAATCACAGGGAGCACATAGTAGAGTGAAAAGAAAGAAACTAAGGACAGGCCTTTGGGGAACACTTGCGTTTAAGG